CTTCATGGGGCAACAACTCAAAGTGCTGTCCAGTCAGCCGCATGTAGTCCTTGATCCATCCAGCACCGTGACAAGTGCTATTGCATCCAGTGTCAAGGATGCAGAGGAGCTTGTCTTCTCCTGAGGCATGGCCATGGAGTGCCATCATGGCCGCTTGACCTCTCACCTTGATGTACCTGACATACTCAAGGAGCTGCGGGTTCTTGATCTTGTTGGCTTTGACTTGGCCAAGCAGGTAAGTGCCATAGGAGTGTTCCGTCTCAGCGATCATGCGGAAGGTCTTGCCTTTGTGCTGACCAGTCGTCATTTTCTCAGCATCCCATGCTTCGATATCTTGGACCAAAACATCGCGTGGTCCCAAAGTCGGATCACCCGGTGTAGAAGGCGCCGAACTGGCAGATCCTCTGGTGTTCGGAGTGTGGAACTCCTGAGCTGACATAGGCCTCGGTGGCGTGGACAGAACATGAGGTGATGCCGCTGCCGTTGAAGTCCTCGGGACTGTTGGTGCTCCATAGATCATGTCTTTGCAGCGACGGTAGATCACATCCAAGTCGTCCCCCGTGACCACATTGTGAGTCTGCCTCTGGATGCTGATGGTCAAGGTCATCAACTCAAGCACTTTGGATGGTGGATCATCCAAATACCAATCTGCGACAGCTCCAACTCGGAGAGGTGCAATGTCAGCTGCCTTGGCACCAGTCTCACCAGGATTCTTGAATCCAGATGCGGTCTCTCCGCAATCCATGCATCGCCAGCGCCAAGTCGTGGCTGTGGTGCCTTGGTAGTTCTTGCGAGCATGAGTGCAAGAAGTCACTTCTTTTGTTTCCATGCTCTTGGCAGCATTCTTCTTCTCGAGGTGGAGGATGTAGCCGCAGTCCTTGCATCGGATGATGCTCTGGTAGGCGTTGGAGCCAGCCTTGGTGCGATTGGGATGATGGCAAGATCTCTGCTTCAAACTTGTCTCTTGAGCAGGAGGATTCATAGTGAACCTGCTCATCTGGTCAGGATCTCCATCTCGTAGCATTGCAGCGGTCCGTGCTTGCTGACTTCCAGGCTGAGGATCAGGTTGCTCTGCAAATGGTAGCGGAGGAACTTCAGGAAGATGATACTCATAGCCTGAAGGGGAAGTCATACTTGGCAATCCAGTCATACTTGCCGGCACGGTCATACCCACAAAAGATGACATACTCGGCGCTGAGGGTGCTAAGCCCGACACCGAAGGCATAGACCATGATGAAGTGCTGACCACAGATGCAGCATCTCCTTGGCCTTGCAATGTGAGCTCTTGGACCTCCCAGTCAACATCCTCTGGGATAGGCTGATTGTGGCCGTCAGTCAAACGTTGGGCCTGTTGCTGCTGCTGCACACGTGCCTGCTGGATTGCAAGATCCAGCATCTGATCCGCTGTGAGCTCGGTTGAGGTCCCATGGAGAACACCTGAGTGCAGAGATGACGGAGGTGGAACACTGCCAAACTCGTTCACGGCCATGAAAGAAGCCTGGGCCTCCAAGTCAATCTCCGGGTCCTCATACTCAGCAACGGTGAAGTACACGACACGTGGTTTGGCTCCTTTCGAGCCTTTCTTGCCTCCAGTAGCTGTCGTGGCTGTCGTAGTGCCGGTCATAGCAGTGGGTGACTTGCCACCTTTGCCGGCCTTGCTTCCAGGATGTTTCGGGCAGACATAGTCAGTGCTCCAATGACCCATCTGGCCACAGCGACGGCGTGTGGTCTTCTTCTTCAACTCTTCAAGCGCTCTTCGACGCTCAGGGTTGTTGGAGCTCTTGCCCTTGCCCTTGTTCCAATGGCGATTGCTCTTGCCACCGGAGAAGCCTGTGTGCCCCTGACTCTGGGCCTTGTTGTGAAGGAACATGGCTTCTGCTTCAAGCTGGATCACCTCGATGGCATAGTCCACAGCTTCTGAGTTGCTCTCATCTAAACCTTCTTCAACCAGGGCCGCATAGGACTCAAAGGCGAAGTCGGCCTCCTCAGCTGTGGATTCAAACTCCCAGTCCTCAGCTGCACCAGTGTAGAATGATGCTGAGGGCTGGTCATACTCTTCAAAGCCACCAAGGGATTGGGATCCTTCATCCCACGCTTCTTCAGCCACATAGCTCTGCTGCTGGAAGGGCGTCGACCATGTGTGGTAGGATCGGGACTTTCCTTTTCCACGGCCGAACTTGCTGGAGTAGCGCTCTTGCTCATGACGGTGGCGAACTTCTCCTTCATGAACGTGAGGATGTTGAGCAATGAGTTCATTGCATACCTTGGTAACCGTCGTGTCGCCTCCAAGAGCCGTGCGGATCAACAGCTGGTGATCCGCTGAGATGCCAGCCGACATCAGGACCTGCTCCGAGAGGATGGCCTCTGGCAAGGCGAGCTTGTCATCAAGATCACAAAGCATCTTGTACCAGGTCCGCCTCCTGAGGAGATAGGAGGTCATCGGCTCTCCGTATTGCCTGCTCAAGGGGCCATGGACTTGAGCTCCTGCGGCATAGAGTTCACGAGCTTCTTGTTGTCGTCGTGGTCGAAAGGCCTGGTAGAGGTGTTGAAGCAAGACTTCATGACCATTCTCACCAGCCAACTTCGTGAGCTCGATCTCTCGGACCACTTGGATGGCTGCACCTGTCAAGCCATCAACTAGGCGCAATCCCAACGGTCCTTGCTTCTTGAGCTCTGCCGGGTCCAAAGCCGCATCGCGAGCAGCTCGAAGGCGAACTCTAAAGGCATACTCCTGCAAGGCAGCTGGTGATCCATCGAACTTTGGAACACCTTTGCCTTCTGTCCCACTCATGAGGTTCTCAGCCTCCTGGAACCGATGCCATCGAAGGCATTCGAGCGCCGCCATCACGCCCCGACGCAAAGGCTAGGTCAGGTGCCCCCAAAATGAAAGACAGTGGGTCTACCAAATCGGGTTCCCTGGGGAGTACTGGGCTCCGGTGCCAATTTGAAAAGTCGTGACACCCACGTGTGAAAAGGCTTCAAAAGCTGCGCGTCCTTTTGAGCCTGCATCTTGAGCCACAGGCGGTCGTTCATGCCTGTGTGACAGTCAAACCTGCTGGACGGATTGAAGGGGCAACTGCATGAGATGTGGTCGCTAGCGGGTCAACATGTTCCATTTCACATTGTGCTTGTGGTTGTGTGTTTGTGGCTGGCTGTGTGTCATCGTGTGTGTGGCCATGTGTTTGCGATTGTGTGTGGCTGGCTGTGTGCTTGTGGTTGTGTACTGTGTGTTGTGTGTTGAGGCCCGGCAGCACCCACTGCGTTCCAGCGCTTGCTCTTGAGGTCGAGCAGCCCCGACTGCGATCTCGCACTTGCTGTTGAGGTCCGGCAGTGCCCACTGCGATCTGGCGCTTGCTGTTCAGGTGCGGTAGCGCCCACTGCGATCTGGCGCTTGCTGTTGAGGATCCGTAGTGCCAACTGCGATCTGGGAGCTTGCTGTTGAGGTCCAGTAGTGCTGGCGAGGAGGAGAAGGAGAGGAGGAGGAGGAGGAGTAGAGCTCTGATACAATCTAACAACCCTCACCTGGCAGCTGGGAAAGAAGTAAGATTCTTTTGACAAAACCAATATCTTCTCATGTCTTCTCCAAGTGCGTATCAAGTCGATAGACGCTGCGGTTGTTCAGCACTGGTTTTGGAACTCGTCGTTTTTGACCGGATCAGCACGTGAGTCTTGGGAGGTTACAGTTTGCTTCATTTGGCTTCTTTCGTGGGAGGGCAAGAATGGACTCAAAATGACTCAAAGTACCCCAGGACATCCCAAATCTGGAGACGTAGATGTTCTGCGGGGTCGATATATCGAGTAGCACACGGAGCATTTGATGCTCACGACGAATTGTATTGTAACTGCATGTAACTGCTTATAGTATTATATTATAAGTCCTTGCGACCTCAAAGGTTGAGGTCGCTTCATGGTCGACATCAATCCTCCTTCAAGTCGCTCAAACTCTTGGTGCTCATACACTTTCCACGCTCAGATGTCGGCATCTCACCAGTAGCAGGGACATCTCTTTGTCGCTCAGATGACACACGAGACACAGGAGATTCCGGCAAGATATTTAGAGTTTCCTGTGGTGGTTCTGGTGGATCCATCTCACCCGGTAGTGGTACGAGCAACTGAGGCTTTGCATTCTTCCTCATTGACCTGACCACAGGCTGTAAAATAAAGAAACGCACTTTGATTGATCCCATTCACATCAGAGGAGGAGCTCTTCAGAAAGAATTCTCAAGGAAAGAAACACGATGTTGAGGCGTTTGCTGTTGAGGTTTCATGGTTCTTAGCTTCAACAGTCCTGGCCTCAAGTTGTTCCCAAGATGCGAGAGCATCGATTTCTCCATTTCTTGCATGGTCCACGTCATGGTGATATGCTCCGAGGAGACATCCGGCGAAGGGCTGTTCTGCTTGGCAATGAGTCCTTCTTTGACCGAGTCAATCCGAGTCTCTTCACAACTGCTGGATGGCTTGTCTCCTTACTTTGTGCTTGTCCAACTGCTGGAGGGTGAACAACATTTTACTAAACCATCGAACTAGCCCTCCCCAACAAAAGAAAGAACTACCCCGGCCCGGCCCCCAAAATAGGTGGCCTCTCTGAGCAAGTCTCTCTCTCGGCCGGACAGATTCTTGAGCTCTTGCAAAATCAGGCTGTTGGTGCCTTTCAACCTTGAAAGCTGTTTGGACATGTCCTTCAGTTGCGATTGAAGCTCTGCACGGACTGCTGCCACAACATCCTCTGCAAGAGCATGTGCAGCCAGATTCCCAGGAGCATCCATATTGAGCTGAAGAGACACCAAATTTACAGTAAACCAAAGTCGGGTGGGCAAAGGGTCTCGGCTGCGGTACCAGCAGGCATGTGCCAAAAGCAGCTCTTGCTGCTTCAAACGTTGAGTGTTTGCACTGGAGTGTGCTTTACAACAGTGTTTCTAGATGAAACCAACATCAGCCAATGAAAGCCATGGGTGCTGTTTGGACTGCTTTTTCCAATAGCTGATGAGAGAAACCCCCGCCTGCACCGCCCAGCAACACAGAACCGCCAGACAGGCTGCCATGGCTCAAAAAGCCCAGGCAGTACCAGGGCCTGATGGCGAGTCGCTAGAAACACTGAACAATTTGAACAAGCGCTAGACGCTAGACATAAATTTGCTCTCCATTGTCTCCATCAGTCATCTTGCAATATCTATTACATGTGGATATATATATATATGTAAATATGTATATCTAGGATTATCGTCAATTAAAACAACCGCCGCCACCTTGTTCGGTAGATTTCAATAGCCTCAGCAAGGCCCGGCAAGGTAGCAGTAAGTTGAACTTGTTGGAGAAATCAAATATAATCCTGCAAACCCAATCTCTATCCAAGCCACCCACAAAGCTCCTGATAGCTTTTCAAGAGCATCTAAGGATTTAAGAAGCTCCTCGGTTGGAGTCACCTGATCGAATTGACGGTACATGGATCAGAAGAGCTGGACTTTTTGGAGGTTAATCTCTGGCAGATCTCTGAGCTTGTCAAAACAAAAAAAAACACAAACGAAAAGACAATCATTAGAATCTTTACACTCACACTCAAACACTTGGTGAGACTTGCGAAACTCTTGACAGTTCCCCACCTCAAAACTCATTGTCCCTCCTGCCATCAGCGAGCAAAGATTCCTTGGCAAGGGATCCTCGTCCTTCAGAGCCTGACGCCGTCGGGCGTGCCGCTCGGGCGTGCATCCGGATGTGCTGCGCCGGATAAACATTCAATGGACCAAAAACATCAAAACTTCTGGCCAAAGGCTCAAACAGATTCAAAATTCTGAGAGATGTAAAAAGCCTCGTCCAATGTCGTGATTGAGAACGATGCAAGTGCATCCGAGCCTTGATCATCTGTTTGAAATTTAAAGCGCTGAAGACATCTGGCTCTGTCTTGGACCTAATGCAAAAGGCTCCAGGTCTCAAACAGTGTTGGTTGGAAAAAAGAACACTGCTAGCACTGCTAGCTATTATGTTGTTCAAAGAAATTGTGGCCAGGGCACTTGGCTGTTGCTAGCGCCTTGCAAGTGAGGGCTGACAGCATTCAGAGGTGGCGTGCAGTAGCGTGAGACGGCAAAATGCATTTTCCTCCTTCTCCATCAAGTTCCATTTGAGATCCACAGAGATAGCAAGCAAACTATTGGAGTCAAGGTAGTAACTAGTTAATACTATTTGGTTCCAAAAAACAATGGCACTGGCTGTTTCTCCGCTTTCAGGGAAACACCCCAAACTCCACCTAGCAAATATTAGAGATGATGCTACCTTGTGTGATCTCTGCGTAAAGCCTTTGATGATCACGGGCAAACTGACACTTTTGGACAGCTTCACACATGACCCAAAAAAGCATGTCAGGCATTTTCCAGGTGATGGAGCCAGGTCTGACATTGTATTTCTTTACAATAGTGCTCTGATTGGAGTTCTCTCAAAACCAGGCCATGCTGCATGGGTGATGTGTCGTTCTCGGATCTTCATCTTCCTGAGGTCAAAGAAAGTTATGCTGCAAATATATCATTGGCTGTAAAGTGATTCAGAGTTGTGATTCAATGGGATTTTTTGGAAGACTCCCCTACACACGCAACATTCATGATAGGAAGGAAAGCACACTCAACTTACTAAGCATGTTGCAAGAATAGTCCTCGGACAAAAAGATTTGCCGGGCAACATAGTTCAGAGAGATTTGGCATGTTTGTTTGTTCTATAATGTGGCAGCCAAAGCCAGGCTACGCTAGTGGCCCTCGGCCGCTCACAAATTGCTTCAGCCATTCTGGTACCTCGCTGTGCAAGAATGGGAGAAATTCGTTTACATACATTACATCATCATTGCGCTGCGCATCGTTCTGGCAGTTCGTTGCAACCGCATGCTGGGTTGTCCACTTGAACATATATTATATGCTGTTTAGAGAGAAGTCACAAGCTGGGCTTGGCTGGGACAGAGACATGTGGGCTACTGACATATCTAGTGGAGACATCATGAGACAACGTGATGGGTTGATGATGGGCAACTCCGCATACAGCATACGGATGTTCCCACAGAATAGATTTAAGCTCAATTGTTGCTAGAAATGTAAGAATTGACAAAGCGACACACATGGCTGCTTCTGAGCCTGTTGAGTTGCAAGAGTCCAATTCTCCAGCCATTCCATGAATGGAAAACCTCAGGGAGGAGACTGTTGACAGATTGTGACCGTGATGGCGCATGTCCCAAATTGGTTCCATTTAGAGACAGCTGATCCTCAGTTTGGACCTCTAGGACAGTCTAGGACCCTAAGACTCAAAGGCCCCAGAAAAATGTTTCTGGGTGCTTGTCGAATCCTACTAGGAGCAAGGACGCTACTAGGGGCTCCTGGCCTTACTACTAGTAGCAAGAAGCTACTAGGGGCTCCTGGCATCAATACTAGGAGCAAGGACGCTACTAGATAGAACTCCTGGCCCAAGCGGCGATGAGGAATGGCACCTGGAGCAGCCACCAAGGCTTGGAGTCGACTGCCTTCATGACCTTCCCGTGCGGCACTGCCGGTTGACGGCGCTGTTCCGAAAGGGAAGGACTGATCTTGGAGGCCGCCATTGGGTTGGAGGCCATCATTGGTACCAGTGACTCAGTGACATTGAGTTGGTATCAAATGCTGAAAGCACACAAACAGCAAAACATCTATCCCCTGGCTGGACCACTCGCGCCACATCAGCCCAACGAAAGGTCTTGATGTCCATTTTGGGGGGCAACCTCGACGCTGTCGCCCCAACCTCGACGCACCATATCACCCAGGGAGTGGATGTGTCCAAGAGTGGGCGGAAAATGGCTGCTCAATGACCTGTGGTCAACGCCGACGCTTCGGATCCACTGAGCATAAAAGCGTCTCTACAGGATAGCTCACTCAACAAAAGGTTGTCTAAAGAACACGTTTCTACCGCAAACGTTAGCAAAACTTGCACATTATAAATCATGAACCCGGAGCGGCTGAAACATACAGCAAAATACCAAGTACATTCAAAAGGACAAGAAGAAGAAACAACAACAACAACAACAACAACACGAATCATGAAACACTTTGTGCGGTTCATTCGATGCAAACGAAGCCTTCCTGAACGGTCTCTCTCGCTTCGAACGCTTGGGAAGGGCACTGAAAAGGCACCCGGAGCTGAAGGGCTGCTAAACGGCCTGCAACCTGGACGGCCGGCGGACAGGTGAAAGTGGGAAGCGGTTCGCCAAGAATGTAGTAAAAAGGGCATCGCTACTAGTAGCTTCTTGCTACTAGTAGTAAGTCCAGGAGCCCCTAGTAGCGTCCTTGCTCCTAGTAGCGATGCCCTTGTTACTTAAGTTCGCGGCCTGACTTTCTCCATCAGACTGTGTCATCAAAGAGCCAATGACTTCAGTCGCGCCAGTGCCAATAATCTCCTCACTCCAACAACAAATATGAGCTTGGCATGGCGCTATAAAATAGGTGAGATAGAGGAAATGCCCCTGTATTTGGTTCAAGTTCTAACAATGTGCACTTGACGAGGTGTTGTTGTTGTTGTTGTTGTTCTTGCTATTGTTCTTGTTATTATTATTATTGTTGTTGTTGTTCTTGTTATTCTTCTTCTTCTTCTTCTTCTTCTTCTTCTTCTTCTTCTTGTTCTTCTTCTTCTTGTTCTTGTTGTTGCTGTTGTTGTTGTTGTTGTTCTTCTTCTTGTTGTTCTTGTTGTTCTTGTTCTTGTTCTTGTTCTTGTTGTTCTTGTTCTTGTTCTTGTTCTTGTTGTTCTTGTTGTTGTTGTTGGTGGTGGTGGTGGTGGTGTTGCTGTTGTTGTTGTTGTTGTGCTTATGATTGTGTTTGCTGAGAAGTGATACACAAGGCAATGGCAACACTGGTGGTTCCTTGTTTCGTCAACATCAAAAAGCCTCGCAAGTCTTTGCAGGAATTCTTCGATGGAAATCTGCCAAGCTGACATTTGGTTGCATGAGTCATGGACTTAGCACGCTCAAGGTGACGTCTCAACAAGATCTCAACGCTGGTTAGGGTATTTTTGTCAAAAGCGCACAGTACTTGTAGATACTTGTCTTCATCTCCACGTGGTTGACTTACCCTCACCTGAATAAGCACTATGTCCCAGTAGGTGAACACTCTACCTTTGAACCTCCCGCTGTCGTTCCCGCTGTCGTCCCGCTTTGTCCTGCAGTTCTCGTGCCCGCACTTCAGCTTCAATGCCCAAGGCGGCAGGCACCAGCTGGATCAGCAAAGAGGCATCCTCAGAGTAAAACGAATAAGCTACTAGGAACAAGTGCATCGCTTCTAGTAACAAGTGCCTTACTAGTAGTAACAATGTTTGCTATTAGAAACAAGGGCATGGCTACTAGGAATAAGTGCGACTGAACTCGGATCTCAGGCTCCCCAGTCTCAGGACGAGTCTCAGGGGGGTGTTCTACCCAAACACTCCAAACCATGTCTTTTCACCAGCAAATACCGGTACCCGGTAAACAATTCTTTTCCAGACTCCTCTTTCTCTTTCTTCACCCATGCAAATACCGGTCACGCAGTATCCGCGTCGAACGAGTTTCAGTGCAACATTTCACCCAAATGCTATTGGTGGATATTGGTGGAGAACCACGTTCATTTCATGTTCACTCTGTCAGGTCCCTCAGCAGGAGTTATTAGTATATTATACATATATATATATTATCTACGCTGGTCCCCGAATCTTCCGACCCCTCCAAATTCCAACTCTCAAACACCAAAGGGACATCAGGTCCGCACTCACCAACCTCCAGAGCTTCCCGCTGTGCTGCCTGCCAGTGAAGAAAATGAACAATTGAAAATGATCGTCTGTCTGTCTGTCGTGTGTGTCTGCCTGTCGTGTGTGCACACCGTTTGTGTCATTCCATCTCGTTACCTCAAGGTAGTCCTCAAGGTCCTGTCCGGCGTTCTTTTTCCTGCGCCGCGTGTGTGTTTTCGACTCCACCTGGCTTCATGAAGAGCAAGGTGCTCTTGCCCTCGAAATCAAGCTCAGCTCGTTGGATGCGCGGATCCAAGTCTTGCAAATACTCCAACAGTTCTTCGTAGCTCCTCACCGGCTGCCCGCTACGTTGCAGCTTCCGCTTGGGGAACTCGGCCGCATAAACACAGCAGGGAACCACGGCAAACGGTTTGTCCAACTTCAGGGCTAAGCGGATGGCACCTTCAGCGGCTTGATCAGGATGCAGGGCGACAACACAACTGCAGCCATGGACCGCATCCCAAAAGGCTTCTGCGAGGTCCGTGACATCACAGTCATCCTCCAGCGCGCCCTCCAAGTCTTCATGGTCCGAAGCTGTCGTCTTGTCGTCTTCCTGTCGTCTTTCTTCGCCGTCGGTTCTCATCGTCACTTCTTCAGTCACATCTTCATGATCGACCAAACCTTTTCTCGTCCACCGCAGCTCCATGGCCCGTCGTTTCGACTCCTGGATTGCAGCGGTATCCACGGAATCACCCGCTGATGCAACCAAACCTTCATTCAGGAGCAAGCGCAGGTGCTGCGGAACTTTGGGCTCCACTGTGCTATCAAAGTCACAGTGCAAATAGCTGTGAAAAATGGGATTCCGCCAAAACAAACCATTGCGCCACTTCCGCTCAACCGTCTTCAGGTCCAGCGGGCGTGGATCTAATACCACAGCTTCGACCAAGTTCAAGTTTAAGAATTCCCAGGCAAGCTCGCCCTTGCCACCAGCCACGTCTAGGACGCAACCTGAGCGCAACGTGTCAATGCCAATGTGGTCTAAAAGCCACCTGCGGAGCACTGAGGACTTGCTGTAATTCTTCACCGCATTTCTTCTCCCTTCGCCCCGGTTCGCCACCTTGACATTGGGTTTGTTTCGCCTCAACTCTAGTCGCTCTCGTGCCATCTTCCCAGCCTCTTCCGGATGGGCAAAGAAGCAGCTGCTACCATATTGACAAGAGCCACTCCGGAGAAAATGCTTGCATGGGGGGACAGCTGGCAAGCCCAAGAGACCCTTGGCACACACTAAATGCACCCAGCATAAAGCACTTCGTTTCAAGCCTGGGCGACCTATGAGAGGGTAGATGTCATCTCCAGGCTGCAGCTCTTTGTTACATTCCTGGCACAACGAAGTCATCCGTGCCTTTCGCATACAAGCAGCCCCTTCGGCTGCCTTCGCCGTCGTCATCACGCTCAGCTGGGTCGTGGCGGCTGAGTGCAGAGAATCATCATGAATCATGAGTATTTTCAGGTGAGAGGAAACACATAATAGTTAAATATATATACAGTATATGTAATATATTACAAACTTTGCGGATATGCCTAGACTGCCGCAGACTGCCTGCAAAATCCTGCAACGCACTGTAAATTTTTGCAGTGAAAGTCTTGCCGGCAACAAAGCTGTCCTGCAATTCCACGCAATCCACTAAACACTTGATCCAAATGCCACGGCCACTACGGAATGGCAAAAGGCTTATCAATCACAATCTCTCTTATTCTCTTTCCATCTTCCCAGTGGCAGTGGCGTCGTAAAAGAGGCTTCTGGAAGATCTGCAAACAGCATCCAAGATCATCCAAGGTGTCATCTGAAATCTCTGCCCGCAATGGCCTCGTGCCAGGGCCCTAGCGGGAGGCTGGGGCCTTTCTTGCTAGGCTGCCGCGGCCGGAGGAGGAGCAGCATTGGATCCTGCAGAAGAGAAAAAATCCCGAAGTGCACCAATACTCAACATTAGGATCAAATATCTAAGAATCTGCACCTTTTAAGAAGGAACCCCCCAAGCCCTACGGTCTCATTGTCTGGTGTTCTGCAATCGGGGCTTCATCTTCGAGGTTCGCACCGAGATACTGGTCCTCTCGCTGGCCAGGACGCTGGAGCCAAGTTCCTTCGTAGGACTTCCCTTGCAGCACCTTAGAGAACGCCCAAGTGTTCTGAGCATCGCAGAATCGCACCGGGCATTGACGAGATGAACCGCCACGCATTTTTTCCGCATCTGTGACATCTGTGTTCGAGATCGGCTTTCAGCCATCTGTTGGGCCCCCCAAGAAATGTGTCCAAATCATCGGTGTTCAACATCAGTTTCTTGTTTTCAACAATATTTTTCAGATCTGAAACATCCAAAGTCTCTTCCTCAGCTGAGAGGACTCCAAGACCTGAAGACACTTAGTGACTTGATCACCAGAAGTGTTGAACCGATGAGCTGAGCTGGAGTTGGGAGCGAATTGAAAGGGGACTGACTGAAAGGAGTAACAAGAAGCTACTAGCAGTTAGCAGCAAAGGGCAGCTACAGTACTAGCAACAAGAAGCTACTAGTAGCTCCTGGCATCGCTACTAGTAACAAGGGCATTACTACTAGTAACAAGAAGCTATCTGAATGTAATTTCGGGATTGACTTTCAGGACGCAGTAATTCTTAATCCCATCAAACAACGGAATTCATTATGATTTCAGCATCTGAAATAACATGTGGAATTCGTGTGAATTGATTCAGTTTTTCTTTCGCCGCAAATGCAACTGTGTCACGCCAAGCGTAAACCAAAGGAATTCACTGCCACTCAAGCATCGCGAAAGCCTCAGAGATACACGACGTGTCCCGACGACAGGAAACTAAAACAAATTCTTGATGGGGAAACTCCTGCACTACAGTACCTCTCAGATCCAATGACCACCAACACGCTGTGGGTGGTGCGCTTAGTCTTCAGCAAATCCCTTTTTCAACGAACAGAACAGTCCACCCAGCCAGGACAGGTTCACCTTGGCTTTACGAGTCCAGGTTTGAACTCCCCCAAACCAAACCTGCCTCTTTTGCGTCTAAAAGAAAAAAGCTCCTCGCCCAATTAGAAACATTGTGCCTCTTTCGCGTCTCTAGTCCGTTCATGATCCGTTCATGGCTTTTTGCTGTATGCTGTATATACATATGAATCTGTGTGTTCCAAGACGTTCCTGGAACTTTTTGGGAGCATGGGCATGCACAACCTTAAAACAACGAAGACCGAAGACTGCTTGAAAACAAAATTCCAAGAGTTGACACCCCGATGTCGGGACATGGTGAATGCATGCGAATCCAAGATGAATTGGTGCCCCGAGTCAAATTGAATGAGGCGTAGGCATAGCCCAAATCTGGATTTGAAAGAATACAAACAAGTCTTAAAGTCATCATTTTATAGAAGCAAAACCTGATGCGTGTCTTTCCTTGATGCTATTTCCGCTAAGGCTCAGGTGCTCCAAGTGCTGTGGCTTGGTTCCAAAGTGGCTCATCGTTGCGTGCCGCCAGTCCTTGAGGGGACAGACTCAGTGCTGTTCACCCGTGGCTTCCCGTAAAGCAAATCCGTTCCGACCTTCCCACGAGTCTTATGACTTACCACAAATATCTGGACCTGGAAATGGCGTATAGCAATATTATATCAAACATTTAACTATAGTCCACAGAATGTTGACCTTATGGCTTTTGCTGCCAGATTATTGCTTATAAAAAACTTTGCCTGCCCTTGGCATTCTGCCTTTTGACTTTATGACACTAGATCCAAGTCTTGATTGACCCATCGCTGTCTGCATTGTCTGTTTGAGTGGCAGTAAGACCAGGTCTAGGACCCTCCAAATGCTGACAACCAGCTGAAAACGTCTGAAAACATATATTTCTTTTCTGCGATTATCCTGAACATGATCGAAGGCTTCCGACTTCGATAAAGAAAGTCTTCTTGTTTCATCTTGTTTCTGCACGAGGGGGGCGGGGGGTCGAAGACTATCTAGAAGGCCTCGTAAGAGCACCACGCCCAAACGGAGTCGTCCAATCAACTGAGGTCACGGCCCAAATCCAACCGCGACCTCTGAAGCAATGCCCAGCTGGCAGTCCCAAAGCAGAAAGTAGATTTGCTGGCGCATTGCTCTGGATGTCCTGAAGAATGACAACCAATGGACCAGTGTTACAAACAGGCTTCTGAAGGCACACAAAAATCATAAAACATCACAACAGGCTTCTTTTCTCGATAGTGAACATCAGTACACGATGCTGGACCATTCTGGGGTAAAAATGCCGAATTGTTCTCCATGTAGAGCTTCCGCACGCGGAACCCGCACAGATTCCGCGCCAAGTCTCTACGGCAATGTCGAAGTTGTCCAGAATACTCTTCAGACCAGGAATTCCGACAATTTGCTCGACCACCTCCCGGGGCCTCTCCTGATGCAGAAACAAATCCAAAGTGATGCTATACCCACGATGCAAAATCATTGGCAGCTCTTGCTGCTGAGGGGCTGGACACTTGATGGTCATCACGCTTGCAGATTGAACCTCTTTCCTTGGCGACTTGGAGTTTGACACGGAAATTCTTAGAACATCAAAAGCTGTCGCAAATCCTCTTATGTGTGGCCATCAAGCAAACCGGCCAAAAGACTTCACTTAAAGGGATGAGATATCCACTAAACCTATATAATTGCTTCCGGAGTTGAACTGACTGCCACATGAGTCCATGTTTATAGAAGCAATGGCCTCCAACCTACTTGCGATGGCCTCCAACCTACTGCTATATGAGTCTATGTATTTGGCAAAGCTCTCAGTCAGAGGCAAAAGAGCGAGAAGATACTTCTTCGCCAGCTCAACGCCGTCCACGCGTTGTGGGAATCGCTCAATCATCTCTGGTGTCGTTGGTGCATAGGCAAGCCTTGCAGCATTGAATTCAGTGGACAACAGTAGCAAACAATACGGAACACCTATCATGAATACCATTAGGTTCCTGTCCTTTTCTCATTGGCTTCACCAAAACCTGCCACATCCTGCCGCTCTTGCCTGCTTCCCTTGTTGTCGTCAACCACAGGCGCATAGCTCCTCAAGTGCCAAGTGACAAAAGTTTGCAGGTCACTTTCGCACACACCCCAAGTCTTGCCTAAAGAGCCGCATGCCATTGAACCGGATCTGCAAATGTAAAAGCCGCCGCCGCAGAACCACTCGACCTGCACTGTAGAACCAAACATGCTTGGACATGCACGTGCCAGCATTCCTTGTCGTGGTGGTCAAAATGTTGCGGACAGAACGAACCAACTCTTGTTCAATGGCAGCACTACTTAAAAGAAAAAACAATTATATATATATATATATATATTTATACCAGCGTTGACCCCAAACAGTTTGTGTGGTCCAGGTCCAAGACCAAACAAGTGTAAAATCGTGCGGCCACCGCACTCACAAAAGGACTGGAGACCGTGGGAGACAAATGGGAGACAAGTGTAAAGTTATGCGGCCAGAGCGACCACAAGGGACTGGAGACAGTGGGAGACAAGTGGGAAACAAATGTAAAATCATGCGGCCAGCGCACCCACAAGGGACTGGAGACAGTAGACAAGTGTAAAATCATGCGGCCAGAGCACCCACAAGGGACTGGAGACAGGGGGAGACAAGTGGGAGACAAATGTAAAATCATGCGGCCAAAGCACCTAAAGGAGACCGAAGACAATGGAAGACAAGTGGGAGACGTGTAAAATCATGCGACCAAAGCACCCACAGCGAACTGGAGACAGTCAGAAACAAATGCGACACAAGTGTCAAAATAATGCGGCCCCACAGGAGACTGGAGACAGTGGGGCACAGGTGGAAGACAAAGGGAAAACAAGTGTAAAATCACAGTGGGAGACAAGTGTAAAATCATGCGGCCACAGCAACCACAGTGTGGCAGAAAAGCAATAGCAAGCCCGGAGACAAATCTAAAATCATGCGGCCTGGTCATGCACCCCTTTCAAAGGAGTAAGAACCCCTCACAGGTAAACCTGTTTGGGGAATTACAGTATACCTGGTCTTGGTGCCATACCATGAAAAAAAATGAAATGCTAGGCTACTCACTATGAAGCGAACTGTGCCAGCCACGCTCACAATGTGCAGTCATGGAGCCACTTTCTACTTCAACTGCAAAGGATCCATCCAGACCTTGGTAGCCAGGTCATGCCAGGTCTCTAGAAATTCTTGAAACGAGCGCTTCCAGCTTTGCGACCATTTCAACTGGAGTCAAGCTGGACTGGGCAAACATCTGGACCAAGCTGTTTTTAAAATCTGCAAACCAAGATACGCATGAACCCATCAATGACTTTCTCAAGAGCATCTCGGCTACACATTCTCTCAACGACATCAAGCGCGTTAGCCATGATGTCTGGAGTTGGCCGCTCACCTCCAAGGTGGGCAGGTTCCCTTGGGGTCCAGAAGACGTCTTTGAAGCGAACCAAGAATTATGTATATAATATAAGTTAAACAACAAATAGTTCAGCTAAATTAAGATA